AAGGTAGCTCGAAACAAAGGCCAAAATAAATAGGACTCCTTCACAGAACCTCCAACTAACTTGAGAAAGTCACTACACAGAGTAAAAGCTGAATGTRTTTATGGCTTCAGAGCAATTGGGCAGATTAGACAACAGCCTGAAGATCTGTGGATAAGGGGCAAATATAATGGTCCACATTGCAGYTTCAGCTAAAAATACCTCCAGATGCTGACCAAAAAAAGCTGGGAGGGCATGTAAGGGAAGAAGGAAACTCCTTGCAGTGCTCATTCTTGTTTCCCCAGCCATTTCTCAGGCTTCCAGCAGTGGGACTGGGACATGAGGTTCCTTTTTTTGCACAGAGGAGATGGCTCTGACACTGCTGCATTGACAGCCCACTGAACCTGGAAGTGCAGGGGTGTTCTTGGAGAGAAACTCTTCACTCTTCACAGATGGGTCCTTCACACACTTTAGCTTTCTTGTGCCAAGAAAATTACACATTTATTTAACTTTAACATGAGTTTAATGGTAGATGTTGAAGGTGGGTTTATTTCTGGAAGTAAAATCTCTTCCTTCCCTTGASTGAGTAGGTGAGGAAAAGAGGTCATTTGAGGAGCTCAGGTATGCTCTTTTCTGCACATTCATCATAAACCATTAATCAGAGTCTATATGTGTGCTCACAAGATGAGAAAAAGTTGCCAAAGAGCTGATAATTAACACTTTTATCTGAATGCTGAAATTGTACAAAGCCAGTTGAGAAAACGGTTATAAATTTGAACTCCTAGTGAAGATACAGATCTATTTTTTCCCTGTCTCCCAGAATCTCCAAATGAAGACTGAGTATTTTTTAAGAAAACACATTCCAGGTCAACTCATCGCTGAATTTATTTTCTAGCTGTGGCATTTAGCAGCTTCTCAGCTGTAAAAGTGTTTCGATCCTTTTAACCTTATGTTCTGAATTTACAGGGGGCAGGTTGAACTGAAATTGTCCATATAAACAATCTCTCATATGTTGCCTTCTTCCAGATGCACATCTGGTGAGTTCTTCATCATTCCTAATTACGATGCAGGTTGATGGAAAATTACTTCTTTGACAGAAAGTGCAGCAAGAAACTGTGCAAATTTAAACAAGAACTGAGAATCCCACTGAGACTTTTATTAGCAGAAAAATCAAAGATCTGCAAAATGTATTTTCTTTTTTTTTTTTTTTTTCCCTCAGCATCACTGAATCTTCTGATTCCAGACCACACTTAGTCCTCTGTCATTAAAGACAGACTTGGGCATGTATCAGAGATTAAAAGTAACTCTCCAAATCTATCCTCACTAGTGTAATATGTTTATAAAGAGTCCATAAGGAGCAATAGAAAACTCTATCATATTTTTCTGTATCACTACATGTACCAGTAGTCAGAAAAATTGCTGTTTTCTTGTTTAGCTAACTGCCAAAAACTGCATTTCACATAAAGAAGGAATAGCTGAAAACATTTGGATCCTGTAGTCTGCCCAGTTCAATTCAAATTGGCACTATAAATCTGCATTAAATCAGCTCACCAAAACCTCCTCTTGTCTAAACTATTCTCAATTAAAAAGAATCCTACTAAGATCAGAAAATCTAATACAAAATTCTAAAGAAAACATTTCTATAAATAAATAAGTCTAGACTTAAAATCCAGATTGCTGTAAACATTGACTTCTGATCTTTGGACAAAATACAAAAATCTGCTCATTAAATACTTGCAGATTAGGAATYTTTTTTCATGGAGAATGACTAAAAAGAATGCCAAACCTAGGACTGGTGTATGCTGTGGGTAGTTCTCTCTTCCCTCGCATTCAGTAGCAGACATTCTTTTTTCTTTTTCCCCTTAGTTCAGAAGAACCACTCACACAATGAATGATGTGCTTCATGCCTGTCTGAATGGCRCAGAATGAACTAACAACTTGATGTWACTTATCTACACCTTATTATCCAAACAGATGGAAGAGTTAGAGGAAAAAAAAAGTATTTCAGGCTTTGATCATTCCTATTCCAGGCAGAATCCCTCTKTCTGACAAGGGAGCTGTTTATGTGATTATGACCTGAACTTTCAAACAGCTGCAACCCTTTGTTTCACAGGAGACCCTGAGCTGTGATTGACCTCCTTGCAGTTGTTTCCTCTGATTTGGGCACAGAAGATAAAGCTGGAATCATGAAGTGAGCACAAACACAGGAATGGCCTGTTAGAGCTGGTTCTGCATCCAAAGCTGGAATGCAGCACTGTTCTCTTCTGCATTGTGGTGGGTGAGCATTACCTCAGACAAAGCCAGTCTGAATGCACACGAAGCAGGGAACATCTTGCTGGAGGAGGTAGAAGGAAGTGTTGCATCTGTTCTGCATAACCAAGTCAGGGATTTCTCCTCTTCTGCAACAGCACTCATCTGCTGTTTGCATGTACAGCAGCTACTGCCCATTATCTCTGCTGTACAATTGCACCAGATCCTCAAGGCATCGCTTTGTGCAGTTCCACTGACATGAGCAGAGGATTTGGCCTGCCTCTACCAGAACTGCCGTGTTCYATGCATAAAGCAACATCATCCTTTCAGCCATTTACTGAGCCACTTTATTAAGGTTGCAAATAAAGTCAATAACTTTAATCATGCTTTTGGTCGCTGTGAATCCTGGCTTGGCTAGGAATCGTTGGAGATAAACATCTCATTTCAAATAAGCTACTGAGCAGATGGTAATGACTTTTAATCACAAGCAACACAAGGAAAATCTGAAATAAAGCCCTTGAGATGAACAGTTTGGTACATCATTCCCATCATTTTGAATGCTGAATAACCTTGCCCCACAAAGARAGCCATGTGTGATTTATGTACACATACACTTCCAGCTAACTCAAATACTGGCAGGCATTAATTGTTTTTCACAATTCTTATTTTGGGCCCTTATCCAGTGCCCACTGAAGTTAAACCAAACCTCTTCTTTCTAAGCCTTCAAAGACTCCATCTGCTGCAATTACAAATTGTTGTTTTTTAATTGTGGGTGCAGAAGTTTGGGAGACCTACAAGAACTTCCTGCTCAATTCTAAAAACAAGAGTGAGGGTAGTTTGTTTAGACACCTGAAACGCCTCCCTTAATTTAAAAAAAAAAAAAAAAAAAAAAAAAGAGCTCTTAGCCATGTGTGGAAACAGTACCGGGGGTCAGACACTGCCCTCATCTCATGGTCTGTGCTTGTGTAAGGTAATGACCTTATTTTAGTCTCTTCTCAGGTTAGGCCAGTCTTTAAAAGGCAGGGCCTGTCTGCTACTGTATTTTTGGAAAGTTGAGATGCTCAYTGCATTAAGGAGAACTTTATGCCAAGAGTGGTGCTCTCATTTTGCTATAATCTCCCTCTGATCCTTTGTGATGTGTTGAGCACTCTGTTAACCCAATGATATTGCTGGCCATGACAGTGAAGTGCGACAGGTTTGCATTTGAGTCCTTGGGTTGCAATCTCCCTGCCTGGAAGCTTACTAACACCATTTCTTAATGGTCATGTTTAAATCGTTTTGCTTGAGCCCACTTACAGAGCAATCTGTGCTCAAGCTCTTTTTAGCAGAGAATTGGTGAGAATTGGTTTTCAAACAACCTGATTAAACCATGTCTGCAACAAAAACTCCATCATAATTTACAATATGCCTTCCACAACAGTCCTTAMATTTTAACTCCATGTAAATCAGTAGCATTTTTCCTGCTGACTTCTTACCCCACTGTGGCTTTGTCATTTTTTCCTCCGGAGAAGGACTCCCATACCTCACTTCCATGTCCTGCAAAGACCTGCACCACTCACCAGGGAATCCACCCTCGCAGCTTATGGTAACAGCAGACATTTYCACAGCCACATTACTGCTCTGCAGATGAGATCCAAGCAATTAAGGTGCCTGGGTAAATRATACACACTAGAGCTGTGCAGGGGAGGCTGGTTGGCAGTGCTGGTGGCAGGGAGCCATTCCCCATCTCATGGACACAGCGGTGGCAGCTGCAGCTGGAGGCTCTGTGCCCCATGCAGCTGCTGGGGAAAGCATGGAATGAGCCTCTGATTCCAGAACAGGCTGAAAACCCACACAGAGACCTTGATCCTGCTCTGCACAGAGACAGCCATGACTTCAGCAGGAAGATTTGCTTCTCTCAAGCTCTGGGAAGGTCTGGGAACRTGCACAGCCCTTAGCTAGCCAGGTATTTTTTTCCCTTCAACAGCGTCCCTTCGTGATTTCATCTGTGGGCTCTTGAAAATGAATAAATGAAATACATGAATGAAGCATCCAAGCTCTCAGTGCCTTGCTCAAGCATGACTTGTTTAAATGCCTTGGGAATGTTGTCAGAGAAACCAGTCTGTACAAATCAGACCTGGAGAGCAAAACCCACACACTGTACTTATGTACGGAGGCGAGAATTCTCCCCAGCACTCTCTATATGACACATACAGAGGCAGGAAGATTAATGGACACAGCAACTAGTCAGCAGAATATCAYCGAATCAATTAGGTTGGAAAAAGCCTCTGAGATCATCGAGTCCAACCTGAGACCGAACAACTCTGCGTCAACCAGACCATGACACTGACACCTCCAGTCTTTAMCACCTCCAGGGATGGTGACTCCGTTCCAATGTCAAATCACCCTTTCCGGGAAAAAATTCCTTCCTGATGTCCAACCTAAACCTCCCCTGGCACTGCTTAACACTATCAAATTGTCAAAATACAATTCTTCCAAACTGGGCATCGAAGGTACCAAAATACACTGCGCAGCAAACCTCCCCAGCAATGCCCGCGAAACGAGGCGGAGCCGCCTCCAGACAATTTCGGCGTTGCTTTTTGTTTTACATTGACTGATTTTAGATTTTATTTCGCTTTTCCTCTGCTAACCGGCATAGTGAGCCTTATCAACGAATTTGGTTCCTCTTTCACATTAAAGGTGCGCTTGCCGAGGCTTTCGCCGGCGATTGTTTACGCGCCCTTAAAGCTCTCCCTCACGGCTCCTCCCTCAGGTCCCGCCCTCACGGGCGGCCGGGCGCGCCGCCGGCAGCATGGCGGGGGAGGCGGGCGGTGCTGCTCTCGGCCGCGCGGCCGACAAGCTCTTCTCCCTCAGCGGGCTGTTCGCCGTCTGCAAGCCCAAGGGACCCACCTCGGCCGCCGTGCTCAACCTGCTCAAGGAGAGGCTGCTGGCAGGTGAGCGGCGGCGGCCGGGCCGGCACAGCCGGAGAGTTCGGGCCAGGCATTCCCTGAGGTCAGGTGTGTGCGGTCCGTGGGGTGCGGGAACCGCAACCCCCGGTAAACCTCTGCGCCCTCTTCCTCAGCGCTCAGAACGCCGAAGAATAAGCAGGATTTTTTTTGTTTGTGTTGTTTTTATAGTCGTTCATAGCCATGTCATGGCCCACCTGGGGGAATGGAGCCATTCCTGGGTACGTTCTGGCTCTCTGTGTGCACATGGTCTCTAGCTGCGCCAGGGGTGGTTCAAGTTGGACATTATGAGGAGTTTGTTCACAGAAAGGGTGATTAGACATTGGGATAGGCGGCCCAKGAAGGTGGTGGAGTACTGTCCTTACAGGCCTTTAAGGAAACACTGTCCCAGCCAGATTCTGTSTTGGTCATGCAGCACTGTGAGCTGTGAGATCCCATTCACCACATGCTACTTGTGGCAGGCCCAAGATACAGCAGGCTGTGCATCCTGAGATTGGATGGGGATGGGATTTTCCCCAGCAGGAAGCTCCAGTCCTGCAGGGCACAATGCGGGGGATCCCAGTTTCTTGGAGAGCTGTGGGCAATGTCCCAGGGACAGCGTGTGCCCATCTGCCAGGATGGGTGTCTGCAGCATCTCTGCAGTACAGCATTGGCAGGATCTTCTGCTTCAGTCCCACTGCCTATTGCCATTAAAAAATACCACYAAAGGAATGAAAACCATAGTGATTCAAATAATTTGGAAGTCTTGGACACAGTCTGCAGAAACTGCTATGTCTGAGTGCAGAGAAGTCTGTGTGTCAGATATTAAGGAGAAAAAAGTGAGATCATTGGAAAGGTGTGAGTAACTAGGGCCTAGATTCTTTTTATAATGGGTATGGGGACTTGATCATCTGCCCTGGGCTTCTGGGCACTTACTGATGAAGTGAGAACGTAATTTCAGACTAGTGAGTGCTTATCATGATTTACTCTGTAGTGAACTGTAGTGTAAGCACATACTTTTTGTATGGAAGAATCAGGCTCCCTGAATGGAGAGATAATAGATATGGATAAGGGAGCTTAGACCAGTTGTCATATTTAATACAAATAAAATAAAGGGCATTGGACTCTGCAAAATTCCTGGAGTCRTCAGCTGCATAGGAAGTTGGTGGGTTGGGACACTGACAGCTTGAAAGCAGCGCAGAGCAAGTTCAGTTCAGAGATTTCATAGGTCTGCGAATGTGCAAATAAATATGTCCAGATATAAGGCAGTAAATACATCAATAATAGCTTAGATTGTGTAGCATAAAATTTGTGTATAATAGATGTTTTGGGAACTTTGCTCCTTCTTTTTCCRTGCTTTCTTAATGACACTTTACAGGTGAGCCAAGTTTGCTACCAGTATTTCCAAAAATCTGTTTGGAACAGTATGTCAGTCTTTATTAGAATCTAAGTGAAAATACCTTGCAAACTGAGGTTGGGAGTGAATCTAAATTAATCATTGGTCTTCTGCAGTACAGTAATTTCTGCCCTGCTAATTAGTAGTTTAAATATTTGATTTTTATTTCTTTTAGCACTCTGGACATGTGTGCCATTTTTCCTATGTTCTAAGGTAATTTTGTAATGCTTCCTTTCAATTTCTATTTGCAGAAGCTGGTGTGCAAACAAGCGGGAACAAAAGAAATCAGGTTTTGAAAATTGGACATGGAGGTACATTGGACAGTGCAGCCACAGGAGTTCTGGGTAATGAAAAACATAATTATAGTCATCAAAATATGATTTCAGGAAACATTTTCATGCCTGCATGAAATCAGGTAGAGGAACAATTTGGGATACACATGGCAGGTTTTGGGTGAAGGACAGATTACTGTGGAAGAATGGTGTGGGTTAAATTTCCTGTGCATATACTTTAACAGGCATGTAACATGTTTATTAACAGAAGGCTGTGTTCTCCCTTMCTGCCTTCCCTCTCCCACCCCAAATACTGAAATAACTTCTGGGTTATTACATATGGGAAAAMAGAAACTCTAGTGTAATGAATTGTAAAGTACCTGAAAATTGATGGCTTTTTTAACTTAAGCTGGGGATTTATAGTCATCATATTTTGTTGAATTATTTTGTTTCAAAGTAATACTATTCTGGGATTTTGAGGGAGCCTTTAGAGCTGCTAATACTTGCCAAATGAAAAATGTATAAGAAAATTCAGCTGCTGCTTTTCTTGAGGCTCAGCACAGAAAAAGTTTTAGCTCCCTGTCCTTTCTTGCTTAATAAAGAGTCTCCAAAGATATTTTGTCTTTTAATTTTGATGCAACCTGTTTATTGAATTCCTTTGTTTTGTTAAAGAACAGGATGTGTCAATTGCTGGTGTTAAAACCTCAGCTGTGGGTGTGATTATTCCCCCATCATAATTTGTCACCAACAGTTTTATTGATGAGTAACATACCCACTACAGCTTGCTCAAATCATAACCTTGTAGCTCTCCTTGGCCTGAAGAAATAGCAGCAATACGTTTTTGCTGTTGAAAATAAACAGTACAACTCCTGAGTATACACTGRAAGTAAATGCACTGAGTTTTGATGTATGACTTCTCTCAGGAAGAATTCAGCTTCAAGGGGAGGTTGGTAGCTGCGGTGTTCCTAGAGGTCTGTAGCTGGTAATTGTCGCTTGTGAACATGGCAAAATGTAACATTCTTGCGTTAGAAAGGAGCASTGCCTGGTTTGGTTCTAATTTCCTGTACTCTGTGGCCACTCACAAGAGAATTCAGTGTGTATTGCTGAAGCAGACGTTTTCCTTTTACACAGATGTTCCCTTTGAGCCATGCTACTTCTCACTGTGCAAAGTCAACAGCATTGATCCATAGGAAAAGCAAAATCACTTGTGCTTTTTTAATTGCTTCTCCAACTGTTCTCTGATACCCAGCAGTCTCCCAAGCCTGCTTCTGGGGCATGACAAAAAGTATTTGAGCTKGGTGTGCTTGAGATAGATAGAAAAGCACATCACCTTAATATGCTATGGATGGATTAAAAAAAAGACATAGGATCTTTAATTCCACTGCCTCACAAAACACACAGGGAAAAATCAATGGTAGCTAGATTGAAAAGGACAAAACTGGAGAAGAGTGGGAAAGGGAATGTGCCCAGGTTTCGTTTGCACTCAGATAAGGTAATGAGGAGAGAGGGAAGGACACAACACAAMCAAGTGCTTCAGAATGTGTGTGCTGCTTTTCAGGATGGGATGGTGGAACAGAAAGCTTTCTTTACTCATGAACAGGAACAGGATAGAATTATTAAATTTTTGAAACCCTTCTTGATTTATACTGCTGTCTCCCAGRTTTTATATACTGCATGTCTATAACTTTGTTCCTGGGAATTAATTGATCCAGAGTCTTAGTGTGCCAGGTGTACTGCCAATACCTGAGCAGTGCTCTTTATCAGAAAACATACTTTTATATTTCTTCTCTTACTGACAGCAAATGTAGATGAGGAAGGTCCTTGGAGGCAGAGGTCAGTGATCTATGACATGTGAGAGAAAGGCAAGGTCGAGTCTTAGTGAATATCTTCTTTTACTGTTATTCTCAGGCTGTCACTCCAGCGTGCTGTTTCTTGCTGTATAATGGGACTTTTACTTGCCTTATTTTTTTTTTTTTTTAATGGCAATAATGAATTACGCTTCCACAGTAGAAGAAAACATGAAAAAGTGTAAAAACCATTCAGTTAAATCTTGTTACATTCAATGTAGGCTGGTAAGYGTGGTTTATGTCATTGTTCAATAACACACATTCTCCATAAGCTGATGATTAATGGAGAAAATTGTTAGTATCTTGTTCACAAAAGCATTCGATGTCTCTTTAAAATTATTCTATTGAATCTCTTGACACTCTTCAGCAAATTTCAGCTCAGCTGTTGAAGTGTCAGTTATGTCATCATGTTATAAGAAAAGTGCTTGGTTATAAAGTCTTATCTATGTGCTTATCTCCTTTTCTCAGCCTTCTTGCAGCTCTTTCCTATCTGGCAAGTWACAGGAACAGGTTGAACTGAAGGTACACTAAAGCACAAGCACAAGGGCATGTGTGACTAAAATCCCTCAGGAGTCAGAGGAGTAGTAATKGAGAACAAGGAGTCTCAGGGCATAAAAACTGAGAAGCATCAGACCACAAGTAAAATATTTTTTTAAAGTTCATTTTCAGTTAGATGTKTTTGGTCTTGGCTCTTGATTAACATGAAGCTGATTTCCTGAAAGCTCCATTAASTCCTCTAGTTTTATTAAAATAAAGTGCATAAGCTGTTACACATTCTGTGAGCTGTACACAAAACTAATTTCCTTCTAAAATTTTCTTTGGATTGCTGTATGTGGAAAAAAAATCAATAAGAAAGCATTTTAAAGTAAAGCACCTTGTAAAAAGCTTTAAAGTAAAATATAAAATAGAAYTCTTTTTCTGCCTTTTTCTCTTACRAAAAGCTGACTGATTGCTGTTTTTTGAAATACTGGTGTTAGGATTGAAATAACAGTAATCTGTACATGCACGATAATAGGCATTTGGGCCTTTTGATTATTTTACTTTCTTGCTGTAGGCCTGATAAACAATTTCATTATGCTGTCTTGGCTGTATTACTCTTGGTCACTATCAACCTTTAAAAGGACTATTTGGTTACAATGAAGGGTTCATTCATTATTGGTGAGCCATAGCCTTTATCAAACCCGAGGCAGTGTTAATTGCATTCTTCATTTCTTTGGCGATTAAAGATAAATAAATGTAGGAGTTGAATTAAAGTATTTTAACAATRGATGAGGGTTATTTTTCTTTTCCTTTAGACTTTTTTTCCTTTCACTAGTCCCATGTTGTTTGAACATCAGAGATACTTTCTCAAAAGTGTTGACTTTCTTCATATGCTAACAGAGCATGAAAGACTGAGTTTCTGACTAGCATAATATTTAGTATTGAATGTGTTGAAAAAGGGAACTGCAGGGCTGTTTTGAAGTAGCATTTCTTCTGTCTTTGCAGTGGTTGGTATTGGAAAAGGAACAAAAATGCTGGGAACTATGCTGGCAGGTTCCAAGGTAAGGAATGCTAAATGACTTGTATTAGCAGGGGGTTTTGTTTGCTGGTTTTCTTTTTTCTTACCGTGAAGAGCTGAATCAACGTACAAATATGTTAGCCATCCTGCATATTTTGTTCAAATGTGTACTTCAGCTCCTTTTTGCAGTCAGTCAGAAATATGCTACCAAGACTTTTATGTCCAGAGTCTTAAAAACTTTGTTTGTTTTGGTTTTCTACAAAACATTAATAAATACCAAATWACCATTCTATACTATTTATAGCTTCTATACTATTTAGTATTAAAAAAAAAAAAAAACAAAACTAATTAAGATGGCAGTGAAACTGATGTTTTGGGAATGTAGTTGTGGATGACAGCTCAATTTTTGGTAATTTTCCTTATGTGTAGATAACTAATCGTTATTTAGCTTGGAGTAGCAAATGGTTTTTGTTTCTTTCTTGTCTTCTTTTATACCATGAAGCCTTAAGAGGTGCCTTTTGGAATTTAAACTGTTTTGCATTGCATTGTTGGTGCTGTAGAGGGATGCACCACAAATGCATCGATAGACATATGTGAGAAGCYAAAGGTAGCAAAAGCCCCATGGCTGCATGAGATAATCCAGACTTGAATGACAAAGCCTTGAAAAGACAAAAATCTTGTTGCTGGTTTTGATTAATTTTTCTGCCTTCATTTTACTTTGGTGACCCCCTAGATTATATGTGTTACATACACAGAGAAGTGCAAGTACTCCCAAGAGTAATCTGCCAGTGTTGGTTCCTTCCTCACAAGTCAGATTCTGTGGGTTTAGCCATTACTTTTACATGAGAAGTTTAGAAAGGAATGACAGATGYAGAAATCAATTAAGCCTTCCAAATTTCACCTTATACTCGGGAAAAGTCAATAATGCACTATATACTGCCATTTTTCCCGTTCTTTTCTAATCTGAACACGTAAGATCTTTTGCAGCTGCTGAGCTGATAGCTTAAAGGTAGGATTTGATTGACAATCTTCAGTTCAACTCAGACAAATAATTTGACAGAAAAGAAAACACCCAGGATGAAAGGACATAGCTGTAGACTCTGATCCAAAGCTCATGGTAAGCAGTGCCAGTCTCTGCCCTGGCTTTAGGGGGTTGCATTCRGTTTATATGAGCACATTTCAGAGGCTTTTGTGTTTTGAAACATGCAGTAAACAGCTGGATATACAGTGGAAATGTAAGCAGTTACCACCTGATCTCTCCTTTGAAAAAACTTAAAAGAAGTCATAGATTTACTTYTGCCAAATTAAGTCCTCATACCTAAATGTGTAAATTGTTTATTTAAAAACATGTAAAGCAATTGAATTATATCTTAAGCTGATGTTAACAGTGGAAACATCTGTGATGGATGAAGTAATTTCAACCTTTTTGGCAGAAGAGGGTATGCTCAGGTGCCTTGACAGCTCCGCTGTGAAGTCCTGTAGCCAATAACAGGGTTATCCAGCAAAACCCTGTTCTSAGATGGCTCACAGGGGCTTAGAGCTGCTCCTGAGGGGCAAGGGAGGGGAGAATGTGGAGTAGGGGAAGCCTGGTGAGCTACCCCAGTCAGATCCATCAGCTCTCCCCTGGCCTTACATTGTGTGGGTTGTGGGCCCTTGGTTCAGTGTCCAGCAGCTGTTCCTGTGCTCTCCTCCTGTGGAGGAGAATGTGAAGTACCTGCCATCTGTACCAGGTATGGAATCGCCAGCATTTATTTGGAGCTTTTCCTGTCTCTACCTTCCTATTTTCTGGTTTTACCTCAATAAATTAGGCATTCAGTAATTTTTGAGGCTTAGGGAAGTTGAAGGATCTCCCTCAGATGTCTGTCTGTTGGGYTTTTTGACCACACTGGCATTAACATCTCATAATGTATCAAGAGAGAAATGCATGACTAAATAGGTATCTTTTTGCATACCATGCCATGTGCTTAAAATTTATACTCTTATTTAATTTTTTTCCCCACTATTTTGGATGGTAAAGTGTTTGTTGAAATGTGATGTTTTTCTTTTATTCCTTTTATTGTTATAAAGATTCAGAGGAGCTGTCTGACCCTCTCTGGCCAGGATTTATTGTTTGCTTCTAGGAATGTATCTTGTAAAGAAACAGTTCAGTCTATCATTGCTGGCAGCAGAGCTATGTGGAGTGGCCAAAACGTATGGTACTGCAGTAAACTCCATATGGTGACTCTGCCAGGAGTTGGACTGTTTCTGACTTTTCCCCAAACATTGTGTGAAACTTTCCTGACTCTGTGTGGCAGCTCTGAGCATTATCACTCGCACATCTTCTACRAAGAGTGTAACTCTTGACATATAAGCCAAGATCTTCATTGGTTTGACCTCTTTAGGAATTAACTTAAACAGAAATGGGCAGTCAAGGGCAATACCTGCTTAGTGTTCCAGATTTCTGATTGAATTCTTAATATTTTGGCAGAAATAAAAATATGTACCAGCTGGCTTAGCTTTTGTTTGTTTGTTTTATTTTGTTTCAAATGTTCCAAGTGAGAGGGAGAAGCTGTGCTCTTGGATCTTGAATTTTAATACTGAGCATTTAATAAATGTTCYATAGGAGAATCACTTTTTCTTCTTGTTCTGGGACCTGCACTTGGTCGTGTTWGGACTTTTTTCACTTCAGAATTTTGACAGACTTTTTCTTTTCTAAATCATGTTGGCAAAGTAAAGACAGTAGAATAAGAAAATACCTTGTGCTTCACCAGTAAAATTAACATGATGGGAGTCKAACAATATTTATTACAGTAAATTGTTCCTGAACAATTCAGTCTTATGTATGACTGAGTCTCAAACACAGTGTAGAAGTATGTTTTTCTGGGGGGGGGAGCAGAAATGGGTTAGAAAATGGTAGCACAGTTTCCCARGTGGGAGTCCCTTTTAAAAACTCTTTTATCTACAAGAATGTGCTGTTACATTAAAGCAATGAGGGAAATTATAATTTACTAATCAGAGAAAACCAAGAGTACTAAGCAATGGAATTCTTCATTAATGTGATACTTTCCATTGGGAGGAGATGTCTCCCAATGCATACAGCCTTTTTAGAGAATTGAAACTTCTGGATTTTGATTCTGTTCTTGATTTGCTTATTTTTCAGTGAGATATCACTTGAGTTCAGCCTAAGAGAATTTTAGTCATACTAGTGTAAACAWAGCCAGAACTTGGCCATCCATCAAAATGTCCTTAAAATCACTGCCTGTCCATGAATGGAAAGCTTGGGGTGTATTTTTTTTTCTGAGGATGAAGCTTYAAGTCATGGTCCACACACAAAATGCATCTGCAAGTGCTCAGTGTGAAGGAAATAACCTGAGCACTCTTCATTGATTGCACAAGCTTGGACAATGATTGGTTAAAATAGTAATCTCAGAAGTTGTGGCTTCTCCAGAATGAATGTATCCACAAAAAAAAAAAAAAACAAAACAAAAAAACAAAAACCAAACCTCTGGACAGAGTAAAATCCAAACTCYGAGTGTTCACAAAACCTAGCAAAGGAAAAGGATTATGGGCAGAATGAAGATACATYGGTGACCTGATATGTATAAATTTCATTTCATATAGTAGTTAAAATTCATGTTCTTACAAATAGAGAATAGAGTGCTAGGATAGAAAATGAGTGCTAGGTCAGTGATAAGTTTTAGATCTAGCCTGTCATGCTTACATGGTGTGAGAGAGGGCTTGTCTGAGCAGGAATTGGTTCAAATCACCTAGCAGAACTTCTGAGACGTGTAAGTTAATTTTTGCAGTGTGATTCTGAGATTAGAGTTTTGTGTTGCAGAATTGCTTCTCTAGAGAGATGTCATCAGATCTTGCAGAACACTGTCCATAAACAAGATTATTTCTTTAATCCTGTGATTATCTTACTGTCCTAAAAATTAGGCTTTTGCTTGTATCCCTTCTCAAATGGAAAGCTCGGCTAGCTTTCTCCGTGAATTCTATTTTTTTTTTTAAATTAAGTCCTTTGCTTCCATCTTTTGGCAGTGAGTTCAGTGAATTAATAACACATTAAAAAGCACATCCAGTGGTTCTATAAGGAGCAMAACTAATGAAGCCTTTACTTGTGACTTTGTTTGTTTACAGCTCGTTAGACACCAAAGCCCCATGTGGACGTTTWGGTAGCCAGTAATTCAGTGGGGCTCCCTCTGGACCCTTCTTAGTGGAAGCTGCAATAGATTTTTTCCTCTACCTGTCTGTTTACAGGAGGTTTATAAAATCTCAGCATCTCTGAGACCTCTATTCTTCTGTCAACACTTGTGTGTTTACACACTGACATACACACCATGGTGGTGTAAGTGCTATTTCTTTGGAAATTCTCATTTCCTTTTTAAATAGCCTCACTGTGCTTGTTTGTTGTTTTTTTCTTTTCGGTGTATYTTAGTGTTTATGCTCCAGTACATTTTTGAGTTGCAAGTGCAAGAAAATTGAGTTGACTTTCCTTCTGACGGAGCCTCTTGGTGGTGTGTGCTCTTACTTTTTGTCTTAAAAATTTCTCTAGGGTATCACCAGCTGAGCTCTCGGTTTCATTATGCATTCTTTTGGTATTGGTGAAGCCAAACCCACATATTCGTGCACTCTAYAGGAATGTGTTCTGTTTTCTTTCTCAGATTCTGATATTTTTAACATTGTCTTGGAAGGGCAGGATTTTTGGGTAGTGGTAATAATTTTATTAGGTTGATTGTTRTAGTATAGAAAACTAGGTGTTTGGTATGCAAGCCTTCTCTCAGATCTGAAATAGAAACCATGGATTTCAAAACTAAGCATGTTTCAGATTTGTTTAGAATTGAGTGAAGTAGGTGTCTTTTAACCATTTCTGAAACAAAAAGTAGGTAATGCTTGTGAGTGTGTTCTGTGCAATTCTGTGTGGGCAAGCAGTTATATAGGTAATATCCCAAGACAGCTCCACGAAGATAGGCTACTTTTGATTACCTGCTTTAATAAAATAGATTCAGAAAACAGTTCTATCTCCTGAGTRGGGCAGCAAGCTCCCAGGCACAAGACAAGGAG